TGTGGCATTTATTTGGTGCAATAAATAATATATAATTTCGATTAAAACACAGCTTAGATCCGTAGACATGTTAAGTTGAACCTGTGCATTTTGTGCACTGTGTCAGTATGGAATCCATTTCCATGAGCTCATACGACTAGGAGAAATATAAATGCGTATAAGGTGTAACTCTTAGAATAATAACGCATAGAAACCTAGTCCGCACACGCTAAGTGAGGCAAATTGAAGCGCTCCCAATGGGCCTACACGAGCGGGCGGGCCGTCAGTGCTCAAGGTCAACTTGCACCGCGAACAGCTCCAGAATTTTAGCTAAAAATGACGAAATATGCGGTAAATGAGTGTAAAAATACGTCAGACAAACATAAAATAGATACTAACATCACATTCCACAAGGAAGTAACGCGTTTCAACTTGTATTTTTATATAAATATTCACTAAAACCGAAAATTAACCTACATGAATTAGATTTTTGCCTCACTTGTGACAGTTCGTTTGATATGAAACTATCATTCTATGCGTTATTATTCTAAGGTGTAACTATTATAGCTCGTTATCAATAAAATAAAAACAGTCTCGACTGCGCAAAAATATAGAAAACGGAAATAAAATTAAAGTAATAGAAGGCAAAGTATGTCAAAATTATTATCAGGTTTCTTACCACGATAGGACTTCTTTTTAATAAAATAAAATATAATAAAAATTGCTACAGATTTGTAGGGATCGGTGATCGGGTAATGTCGATTGCGTCTTCGTGCTTGAAAGTCGGGTCAATGACCGCTATTGACAAGTTAAATGGTACAATCTATAAAATTATGAAATAAAGACGGTATAAAATTTTAATGTTAAAAGGTTATTGAAGATACTTTAATCAATATTGTTAGTCTCCACCTAAGATACCGTTCAATATTTGAATTTTAATATATTTAAAGTACCTGTCCTATATCTTTTATTAATTTGGCTATAATTGTATTTAATGTTCGATTTGAGTTTTATTAATTTGGTTTTTATATTACTTTTTATACTTCATTTTGTTTTTACTAATTACGGTATAGAGCAAGAAAACATTTCGTAGTCCGTTTAACCTTGCTCAAATAGAATCATACATAAGTTTATCAAATAATATTTAAAGTTTTTTGTTACTTATTAAAGCAATTTGTGATCCGTGCACAATCTATGGAATCTATGGAATTAATAAGTATAGGATTTATACAGTAGGTATCATCATATTATGTGTATTTAGTTATATTTGAATATCTACATGAGATGGTTATTACAGTAAAATTTCCTATAATTTTATTTCACTTTTTGGTAATGGGCCGCTATTACCTTAATGTGTAAATAATTGCCATGTTTAATCTTTTTCATTAATAGCTACTTTCCAGTTTCCAAATGAATTTTATAGCTCTCGTCGTAACCTACAATCCTTTAAAACTATACGCCCATAACAATATAGATTGCATACCTAACAACAAACAAAACCGAATGAGTAATTGATGATTGTGGAAGTAGTTTAAAAAAATTTAACAATAACAATTATTAAACGTTTAGATAAATAAGTATTCATATATTTCCAGAATATTGGTTCTCCGAAATACCGAAGGTTCTCAATTTTTTATATTTGTTAAAATTGAGTAGATAGTTAAACGAAATTAACGTTTTTTATTGTCATATTGTTTGCCTATTGTTTGAATCCAATAGCAGGTACTCATATTTGTTCGATATTGTTATGTTGACCTCATGATGGGCTTTTACCCCCATAATGTTCTATTAATTTGCATAATATTTATAGGTATATGTGAACTTTGTTTATAAATGTATTTTAACCGTCTATTTAATTTGGAATTTTGGTTCTGTTGCCGAATTCTTCGTCATCTTTCTTCTTGTTGCTTTCGTCGCGACGTCTAATATATAGATATCAAGTACCTATATTACATAATTAATGTTATGTATCTTATTTATCCTCTTAAAACTAGAACAATGCGACAAAACCATATTACAGAAATATATGTTTCTTTTGAATTACTCGGGATGATTGTGACCTTCTGCAATTATTGTTAAATTTGTAGTTAAGTACATTGATATTTTCCTTATTCATCTTGTTTTCGAAGCAATTATACTCAAAAAAAGTTTGAGGATCTTCTGCTCGCATATACAATGTGGGAAGCCCGCAGTCCGCAGGTCTGACCAACATAATATGTTATACATATAGCCGTCCGTGACTAGCGACCCAACGAGTTTCTCTGAAGGCGGCGACGCGCACGGTCGTGCATACACTGTCAACCACTATAACTTATTTACCTTCAGCCGCCGAGTGATCGCGGAACGTGCCTGAGTCTCAATTGGTGCAATCATCCAGTTGAGCGTAAACAAACCAGTGAGTATTAATGCTTTATATAACGCATCGCGCTAGCCGGCCGGCAAAAATATATCCGTCATTACATCTTCCGTGGTCGGTCATTCCTGCCATTGCCGTGAACAACAATGTATTAAATTATATCAGGTACGCATAATATAACAGTTTGTTTATATAGTGCCACATAATTAGCTTTGGGAGTACACGTACTAAAAAGTACATTCATGCATACAAAAATTAGGTGTATAGGTACTATTTATGAATCTTTTCCGGAGACGTCGACTGATACGTGCTCATGCTTTTGTAAAAAAAGTTGAGAAATTCAAAAGATTCAAAAATGATCCATTTGTACTAATAATGTAGTCCGCATTGAAAGGAGTACAGCAACACATACTTGAATTGTGCATTGGTTAGCTTTATTTTTAATTTTTTTCACATGTAAATCGCAGTCTTACTTTGAAGCAAAGTACAACACACGTACATAGTACTATCACGCTTGTCTTCCATGCAGCCAAGCACCAAAAGTGAGGTCAAGGTTTTTGTTTCTTAATCAAAGTGTATCAATTCTCAGTTCAACATCGGATAGCCCCTAATTTTGGCACCTATACGTATCTACCCGTTTATATATGTTGGCAGACATTCTTTATTCATTGTCCCAATTTGTGTAAGACTTTTCATTTTCATCCACTCACAAAATCGCATTGCATAATTTTCATTGATCTTATCAGAATACCTACCCATCATCTTACATCTGATGGTCTTTTAACTTTCATTTAATCCTTTGTATAATTATTTCATCTTCTATTTATGGCTACTTATCGTACGTTTAAATCGTAACTTAATTATCTAAAAAATATTTATATTGAAAATGAAACTATTATGATTAAATAGTATACAGGATGAAAACACAGTCAATCGTGATCAATCATGGACTCTGGAAAGAACCCGAACAAATTATACTATTTAGACATATATGATTTAGACCCGAAAAAATAGTTAAATTTCAATGTGTAGCAATCGCGACAACCTAAGAACTCTACGAATATTAACATAATTACAAGTCTTTCATAAATCATTTTGCAGTGTTTCATTAAAAGAAGACGGCAAAAAAATGGTCACGTATTATCGTGATCTCTATTTAAAATGGTGAACATTAACGTAATCGATTAACACAATACTAAGAAACAGCTTTTGTTTTCCTGTTCTCAGATAACTTTAGGTTTTTCCATAATCGATAAACAAATGTTAGTCACATAGCATGTAATGTTTGGGATCATGTATGCGTTATTATTCTTATACCAATTACTTGTTAAGTTTGTGATTACACGAGTATGTAGGTACCTACTTACACAAAAAATAATCTAACTTTTCGTACGAAAGTCTACTGCGATATTTCGATCTTAGTTGATTTTGTGTTCAGTTGTTTCTCTTCCCGAAACTGAAAGTGAACTAAACCAGAAGTAAAAAAATAAATATTACTTTATTTATATTATCGACTTTAATGGTAATAAGTTATTAAAGGGCAGAAACCTACGCCTGGATCTTTATTGACCATTTTGAAAAGTCGCCCGTTAACATTTAGATTTCGTAAGCGCCCTTTGTACATATATACTTAGATGCAAATGCTACAGTAGTCGTAACAAGGTCAACACGAATACATTTGATAGAGTTTATGCGTATACAGCTGTTTTTACTATTTCTAAACATATTTAACATAACGTTAATACTTTGTATTGTCAAATAGTTACAAGGGAGCAATTTACATATTACAGTTAGAGAGTTCAATCTAAATTTTAATATGTAGGATACACGCATTTTAATTAGATATTTCAAAACCTAGCTTATTGAGATAAAACCATTGGTAAATTAAATCAAAAGTATATCTCTGAGCATTTAAAATTGTGTAAGTAAATTATTATAATATAAACACATATGACGTGACACGAGGTTTATATATAAATAGTTAATTAAATAGAAACAGGTTCACTCGAAAATGAAGCTAGGACGGGTTATACAACTTTGTCATGTATGGATGCAAGTAACTAGTTATACTGGTGTACGTAGGTACAATAGAGGACTCGACCAATACCAGTTAGCTCCGATAGTTGTGAGGTGCGCGGCGAATGCATCCTATACTTATGTATGTACTTTGCCAGCAAATTTAATTGAGAAATAACCGAGCCAGTTATCTATCGATTTATATGCAATGCAATCTAGATTGTTGGTTTCGACGGTGGTTTGTCTAAGCAGTTGAATAAACCTGAATACGCCTAATGATATTATTTCTTTAATAGAACTGTTTAGCGGAAATGGTACTTACGCTCGTCGAATTCTGCTCAATTTGTCCTGTTAATTCAATTATTTGTTTATATTTATATATATTTTATTATTTGAAGGTAGTCTCAGTAAATATTTTTGTCTTAGATGTTCACTGGCAGTTTTAACATGCAAGGTTAAAAGTAGTGTTAGCCCGGACATCACACCACTCACGCGCACTCATAAATAGCTATGGCCCCTTTACGCTATTGCAGTATATTGCTAGGCGTTTTTAGTGTTCCTCATAATTCTTTTATTTGTATTAGTCTCGTACCAGTGTGTTTGTAGCATCATTGGCCAAATACATGTTAATTTATCTATACTTATTCTGACGCGTATATGTAAATCGAGGGCTTGTTTACCTATAGACAATTCGTTGTTTCAGATGAGCAGGGTATTATCTCAAAAACACAGACTTTCAGGAGAGCAATTTCAAAGTTTCTTCTAGCATTATTTCAGCCGCTATTGTTATTTGGTTCTCCACATCTATATGTATTTAAAGCCTACATAATTAACAGTATTTTCGAATATTTCTTATTCTTATTCAGTTCCGTGGTTTCGACAAAATCCTGAAATTGTTCAGATGTCTATAATATTACCCTTTTGAACATAAAACATTTGTAATTCAGAATTTTAACTAAACTATTCACGCCTAATACTTTTAAATGAAAGAAGGAATAATATTCAATTCGATAAAACTTTGGGGAACATAGTAGCATCTCAAAAAATGACTCTGTACTACAGGTTACCATACCAATTCAATGAAAAAAATATCCCAAATGAAAAAAAGGTATTACCTTGAAATAACCGTCTTCGTTTTAGAAATAAATATTTTTCAAATACAGTTATCTTATAATGAAGACATGCTGTGTTTTAGTTTGAATACCCTATTCAACGAAAGACGACGCCTTGACGACTACAGCTTCGTGTGTAATACTGAATACGACTGTGTTGCTCAATGTTTGGGGCCAATACGTGCATAAAGTTCAGTGATACTACCCTGCCCCCCACATTATTTCACGTCCGATGGTTATAAGACCCTGTTCGTTAGAAAGATCTCGATTTTCTTAATAGGATTGCATTTTAAAGTAAAAAGTAAAAATTTTCGAGTTGTAAGTTTATAAGTATCTACCCAAACTGTTTTCAAATTACCTATAAGATATTGTTATTATTAAGTGTGGCCTCTTTATCTTAGTTCTATTTTATGTCACTACAGCATGTTTTTCAAATTTGGTAATTATTTTTTTTTTTTTAGTGTTAGTTATTTTATGTATGCGTTATAAGAAAATGTACATGTGTGAAGGTTTTATAACTCCTTCAAGAAATTGGGTTATTCACTGACTATAAACGCAATTTTCAGAACATGGGGCCGCAATGGCTGACATTCGTGTGTGTGTGTGTCTTGGCTGCCTCGACGACGCTATCGGAAGCCTTTCCCACGCAGGAAACTTTGGTTGTAGCTAAGAGTGAAACGCCGGTAAGAAAAGACTATGACTATTTATAATTTCAGAGTTCAGATTTTCGTATATAATGAGTATGTAGGTACTTTGATCATACACTTTAAATTACGTGTGTAGAATAGATATTAAAGATGTTGGACAGGTAACAACTTAAAGCGAAACGGTATCATCGTATGATTGCGTAGGCTTTGAAGCATGTGATATATAGCGGAAATATTAATTAATATTTAAACATTTGCCTTTTTAAAAAGTGATAAGTTCCCTAACGTATTTGTTACGGAATACGGGAGAGAATATTTTATTGAAATGTATCTAATAACAATAACAATCGAATGAAATTGATTTGATGAACGTTTACTACCTTGTAAAAATGAAATTTTAACGTAACCTTATGTTTTTTTTTATCTAGAGCGAAGTTTAGTCAATCGTGATTAGTTCACTACCGATATCTTCAGTTTTAAGTATTAATTTAAAAAAAAACAGCTGATTTCGTATGTTATAATGTCAAATAACGGAATTTCCGTGTGGTCAAATCGTCTATTTGGTTGCAATCACCTTAATCATCAACAGTTGGACAATTGTTACTTAGCAATAATACTTTTGAAATTTACCTTATTTTCTAGAGTACAACACCATCTGTATCAACCAGCCATGAACAATCATCAACACCACCATCAACAGAACGTCCTCTCCTTCCACTGAAACTCACAGAGATGGACGTCAGATCTGAAGTAGCGATGAGATATGCGCATACGGCTGTAGTCACCACAGTGAAGAACCCAGCACATCGCGCTCAGGAAGCCACTTTCAGGGTCTTGTTGCCGGAGACTGCTTTCATAAGTGGGTTCACTATGTGAGTAATAGCGAGTACCATTCTTTCTTAAATACTACTACGTATACCCACTTTCTGTTGCATGGATTTACGATCTGTTTATCCTTTTGTAAAGCGTAAATAAATATATAAAAATATTTATGTGCACTCGTAGACTTGTGTAGGTATGTGACCTTTTAATAATTCTTATAAAGTTTGAGAATGTTAGATTTGACGCCGCCATATTGTTTTGCACAATTAATATTTTCCAACTGATAACAGGAATATTGCTCACAGAATTATAACTTTATTTCTAAAAAAACTGACCTCTGAATATTGTGTAATTACATCTATTTGCCAAGTTAACAGAAAGTGGGTGACACCCAATAAACCGGATTCATCCTCTAATTTGCTACCCTTTGAGGTGCAATGTTTTCTTCAAATTTCATTTCCTCCTCCTTTTTTTGAAGTCTTCTAGTATCCAAAAGTTCTATACTTACGGTGAAAAATGAACTCTTACGGTGTTCGGTCTATATCCGTCCTATTCTTGTTGTATATGAACTACTACGAACAATAGCATCGTTATCCATAAAGTCGTGTCACCTCACAACTGATAATTGGTTGTCTTATATCGCAAAAAAACAGTGACGATGTACGCATACGCCGTGGCTAATTTATAGTGTGACTTCTTAGATATTTTAGGCAGTGATTCTACCTATCAATACAAAAAAGTATATTATACTGTATAAAAACACAAAACCTCTATTACCATACCATCTATTTCATTATCATCATCATATATATATCATAGGGGTCGAATATTGTACAACTTGTCTGTTAGGTACTTAAGTGCTACGTAATGGAGAAACACTCGTGTATAAAAACAAGAGCTTAGCTTATGTAACACTGTGTTTAATCTGAGGAATTTCAAACAGAAAATGTGTTAAGGATGTCCTTTATCAAAAAAAAATTTTGCTACTGCTTTTGCATACTGCAGATGGATCTTAAATTCGTTTCATAGGCTCTCAATTATCACCAGAGTAGGCACATGCTTCGTCCCTTTTGTCTTTTTAGCAAAACTACCTGACGTAAGTGGCTTGTATTTCGCTACTAAACTATGACGTTACTATGACGTCATAGTTTAATAGCGAAGCAAATCTGAAATAAAAATATAATTTATTATAAGGTCATATTATTTGTAATTCATGATTGCACAATGCCAATATTTAATTTATTTTGCACCTCACTAGCTCGGAAAGATTTTTTTCTCATATCGTTTTTTGCATGCTGCACCACACTGTTTCCCTCGATGAAAAAAAAAAAGATAATGATACGCAGTTGACTACGCGATTTGTCCGTATAAGATGGATAAAAATGATTTGTCGTACATTACTTATTTATGTAATATCGTTTGATATTACATAAATAAGTCGTATCGTTGGTATATTTTATTCTTACTATTGTTGACATTTAAATTGACAATGATAACTACTTGTGTTTATTAAAATATTTTAATTAGTCAAAGAACTAAAATAATTTCAATAATCACTTCATCACACAAAATAAAAGTACAAGCAAGAATAAAAATAGATGAGGTGTAAATTCAGAACGCATCAGACGATAAACTTTTTCTTTTAATTAAAACGGATGCTTTAGAGTTCAATTGTTTTTCTTTCATCTACCATTTTCCTCGTTATAGTGAGGTGAAAAGTTGTGTGTTTCGCTCGGCACCAAAGTTGTTTTGCGTCTCGTGCCTTGAAACCCTCGCTACGCTCAGGAATCTATTTTTGAACCTCTGGCTTCGCTCGTGGTTCAATCTTAGCTTCCTACGACGCCTGCTCAGGGGGTCTACTCTCGATCTCCGTCCGACATCCGTCCGAAACAATTACTGCCAAATAAGCAATAATTGACGAAATGAAAAGACGCATGATGCGAATGAAGCTTCATACTGGATACTTGTCTTTTAATTTTGTCTAATATTACTTATTTGACAGTAATTGTTTCGGACGGATGTCGGACGGAGATCGAGAGTAGACCCCCAGGTTTCAATACAAGCACTCGCGTCAAACAACTTTGCAGGCTTGCACAACAAATAACTATTAATATAAGTTAAACAGCTCATATAGCTAGCTTTCATTCATGCCCGGTGTAAAATTGTAAAATTTAATAAAAATTAATATTCATCTCTTTTGAACTGTGTTCCGGGTGACGGGCGCAGTGGCAATGCCCCTCAGATCTTTGCAATTTAAAGGGGTTGAAAAAAAAGGTGATTGAATAACAAACATCCAAACAAACTCCGATCTATTGTATTCGTAGTATCATAAATTATGTTATAACTTCTAGCATTTTCCGTATCTTGTTTAGGATCCTGGATGGGACACCGTATAAGGCGTACGTAAAAGAAAAGGAAGAAGCCAAACAAATTTTCAATGACGCCGTTTCGCATGGCTTGGGAGCTGCTCACATCGCTGCTAAGTAATTTAATATTTTTAAATCTCTGTCTCCTTCTTAAAGTTCTCTGTTTGTTACCCTTCTAAACCCTTCTGGGTTTTTTACAAACGTGGTTCTGCCGCACATGAAAACTTGTGGTTCCAAGTTGTTTTGGTTCATGTGTACAAATTACGTATTAAAATCCGTCTTGTATCTAGGGCATAAAATAGTATTGTTATTAATTTTTTACAAATAATTAATATCAGTTATACAATTGTCTCACATAAATTGAACTGGGTTTTCCTTTTTGACCGAAATGTGAATATGCAGCTTAATTCAATACATTTTCACTTTTATTGACTAAATGAAGTAGATGATGTTACTATTACTAATATTATTGTTTGAAATAACGGCTTACATAATAATATGTACAAAGAGAAACAATACATTAAAATATCAAAATGGCGTAGGTCTCTTAAGCCGATTATAGAAATTTCTATATTATGTGGGCTTGTGCTATGTTTATAGTTCATTCGCGGTGAAGCTGAACCGTGTTACTGGATCATAATCTTTTTCCAGGGCACGCGATTCAAATCATTTTACCGTATCAGTGAACGTCGAGCCAAACAAAACCGCAGTGTTCAACCTCACGTACGAAGAGTTACTTGGCCGTCGCAACAACGTGTATAATCACGCCATAAATCTGCATCCCGGTGTAGTGGTACCAAAGTTGACGGTGACTGTACACATCAAGGAAGCTCAGAAGATCACTGTGCTTAGAGTGCCTGAAGTTCGCACTGGAAATGAGATTGATGCCACGGAAACTGACACACGTACGTATAGTATATATAATACAGAATAAAAAAAGCGTAAGGCGTCTTCTACATTTTCTTATTGCATATTGGCGAATTAGAGCGATGCCACACCTTGCGTTGCGGCTCCTGAGCGGTGACACTGGGTTGTACTATACATATACATATAAATTATAACTACATGCCACATAATGCGTTGAAACGGCATGCGGTGCCGAAGGGGCCAGGGGCTTTACCCGCGTTCTGCGTCCGACATCCGTCCAAAACAGTTACCTACTGTGAAATGAGTACTCGACCAAATTAACAGATGCATGAATCGCATGATGCGAATGAAGCTTCATACTTGACATGGGCTTTTGTTTTGCACGAGACTATTTGACAGTAATTGTTTTGGACGGAGGACGGAAGTAGACATCCTGTAGTGCTTGCACGACACGCCGTGTTTTGCGTGAGAGCTTTATATCGATCTCGCGCAAGTCACGTACTACTGTGCTAGACCTAGAATCGTGGAGGGGTGCTGCGGTGCACAAGTAAGCGGCCCGCGGCGTTACGTTGCGACACCGTATTGCTCGTGTGCTACATGGCACTTACCTAGGAATAGAAGCAATTAATAGAAATGAACACAAAATGTTTTTCTATTACCCAAATATATAACACAGATCTAACTGTTGTATATACCATTGCTTTTCTGGGAGGTGAAGGTTTCTGATGTGCTTCCACTATGATAGTACATATTACAGAAGATACTAATTAAATATGAAAATGTTTACAGCAAACTCAGGCGCCGTTATCGATCGCGGTCACGACGACCGGGAAGCTACCATCACGTTCACGCCAGACATCAACGAACAGCGCCGTCTTATGGAAATATATGCCGTGAGTTCCACCATTTGTACCATTTACCTTCCGTAACTACGCGGTCCAAGGAGAATCTTAGACTCGGATAGTAAACATCTCACTTCTATCGTGCGCCGTCACTGTTCAGCAAATTGGCCTTAGACTATTCCATCCTCTAAGAAATTGGTGGATTCTCGAAACCAGCTTTTGTTATGACGCCTTGCGTTTTGACATTGGGTATGAAAGCAAAAAAATCTTATTAAAAATAAGTAATTAGGTATTTTTCATACGGGACGAACAAGTCGTGAACCTGGTTATGAAAGATACGGCTATCCGTAAGAAATTATATTTGATTATTATTTATTTATTTAAACACTTTATTGTACCACAAAGTAAATTACAAATTTTAAGAATCAATATAAAATAATGATGTGCAAAGACGAGCTTATCCCATAAAGGGATTTCTTATAACTAACCTTTGAAAAACTGAAAGGAAAGTTGGTTTTCGCGTTAGCAACATACAAATAAATAAATAAAGAAATTGAATGCTCAATAAAATACTCAGATAAATTTATTATACCAAATGTACATATGAATACATATATGTATATGTTGATACACTAATATAAAATTTTATTTTTTTTATTTTTTATTTATGGCTCAATAACAGACATCAGAGACAAACAATATAAAAAAATCACTTAAAAATTAATACGGTATATATATGTATATATATATATTATTGTACACAGATGTATATATATATATATATATATACATCTGTGTACAATAATAGTAGATATAAATGATACAAACGGATTTAAACGGGCGCTAAATTAATTATTATAAAAAAACAAAAATAATACGTTATTCACCAATCGTCATCACCATCAATAAAGGATGGAATAATTATTTTTAGTATTTGGATTAACTACATCAGCGTCGAGCTTGCTGTGCAAATCGGTTAACAAATAAGCCTTCAATAATGAAACTTCTTAAAACTTACTCATTTCTATAAGCCGTTTTGAAAGAAATATTGAAAATTTTATTTTATTACTAGGAGAAAAGCAAGGAGTCACAACACGGTTTATGGCGGCCGCAATCTGAACATGACAAGCCGATTGACGGCATACTTGGACAATTCGTCGTGCAATACGACGTCGACCGGCCCAAAGACGGAGAAATCTTGGTAAGTTTATACTTATATAGATAAGGATAAATTTATTTGCAAAAAATGCAATTTTATAAAGTAAGCTACAATGTAAATACCAAAGTACAAATTAACAGCGGACCCCGCACTAATCTCTAAGCTTGTATCGCGGGATCCAGAATGGTAGACAATAACTTATCTTTACTATTACAAGAGCCAATATTTAGTTCACAGCACTATTACAATGTTTTTTTTATATAGAAAAATAATGCGCATTTGAGCTTCAACTCCCTGATGGAAAGTGACGATAAAGTCGACTGTGGAGTACTAGCACACCTAAATAATACCCATTCATTTTTTATGTACAGCAGTACTTTTTACTTTCTTTCTTGATGTGGAATTTGGTTACATGAATCATTGATAATTTACGTACTTTATTAGATTATAGACAATATGTAATACGTTCTAGACCTTTTTTGTGTGCTCTACCTATATCGAAACTATAAAAACAAATAGTTAGAAGTGACGGGGATGCCATGGTGATGCGGTTGCCTAATTCTTCCATTTTTTTAAAGTGAATAAACAGACTTGCTCTTAACCACTACCTAACCTTGGAGCATAGATAGATAGGGTCTACGATGGAACGAGGTTCCCCAGAAGATGCCTATTCAGTTGTACCTTAAAGAGAAAAATTTTCATGATTACTTGATTAATGGTTTTTCGAACTTTGTTATAACAGAGGCAGTAGCAGTACTGCCATATTTGTGTCTATAAAAATTGACACCCCTTTCAGGTAAATGACGGTTACTTCGTACATTTCTTCGCACCTACCGCCCTTCCGCCACTGGCGAAGCACGTAGTATTCGTTTTGGACACTTCAGGCTCCATGTCGGGCCGCAAGATCAACCAGCTGCAGCAGGCCATGCACACTATTCTCAGCGAACTTAACCCTGGGGATTATTTCAGCATCGTTGAGTTTGCCTCCTCCGTTACGGTAGGTTTATTAATTTATAGAAATAGAATTATTTACTCCTAGAATAATCAACACAGTACACATGCATTTTATAATAATAATAATAATAATAATACTGATAATGATAATAATAACAACAAGGATTTGGAACTAAATATATATACCGAGTTATATATGCCGCTGGAATCAGCTTATGTTTCTGATTCCAACGGTATATATAACTCAATGTGACCCAAAAGTGTCGCTTATCCCATTTTGCCTTTCAAGCGTCGATATATAGAGTACAAAGCGTGTAATATTCGGTACTCGTTGTCTATAGTATAGTTCAAATTTCTGTATTAATTCATATTATAATGACTGTTTGTACCAAAAAAAAAAGAAAAAAATGAGCTGTGCTGCTAAGGAAACCGTGCCGTGACCCACTTAGCTTGTTGCCGTCTTACGTCAAGTGCTACTACGCTGATTTTCAGCGGATCCGGCAACAGAACTCACGTGACACGGAACATAGTAGCCGTCACAGATTAACTCTAAAGAAAATGACACAAGCACATATTACTTTAAACACAAAATAAGTCTATTCCATTAGGGCGCGTTTATTCGACGCGAATTTCATTGGGCTCATGTCACTTATACATCGTAGCCTGTTTTCCGAGTCTCTTCAAGCTGGCGAACCGAACATTTTATCGTAAAGTACCATTAGCGGCGAGCTTGATAACGTTAAGACATTTGTCGACGGACTGGTATCGTTGCTCGTTTCGAGCTATGCGATCGACCATGCTCCGCATTCGCAATCGAAATATTGAATAACGAAATCGTGATTTTTGGTTCTGAGATTGCTTACTCCGAACGAAGAAAAACAATGGTATTGGATTTCAAACTTTGTGATAACACTAGTATGCATGCACCTAAGACATAACGCGCTCACGACGAACTGTACTGACCTAAAATTCAGACGTAATATAACACTTAAAGGGATTCGTTAATAAACTGATAAACGGGTGAAGCACGCGGAGTTTTCAACGTGCAGCTCGGCTCGCTGTACTGACTATACTCACATCGTACCGTTGTTGTCGTTATCGTTACGTTACGCTGGTATACACTAGTCAGTCACCACCTTATTACTATGTATATTAACAGTCTTTTTTTCATTACATTTTATTGAAATGGTATGCTGAAAAAGACTAATTAATATACATATATTAAAAGCTTAAAGACTAGGGGATGAAGTTAGATCCAATTAGGGCAAATTTAGGCAAGGAATGCGGCCAACCCTTACTTTCTTAAGATTTTTCGATGTCTAAGAATACTTCTAAAGACAATATCAAAATGAGATTTTGATGAGAATTTGGGTTGGTTTGAACATTTTAATTTTGTCGGTACTTATAAATATTTTTACGCAAACGCATAGACGCAAATTGTTATCTAACATTTCCAGGTTCATGATCTGAAAGAAGCTCTGGAGGAACCAACTAGGAAGGAGTATAATTACTATAGCTGGGACTATGAAAAGCCAGCCACCCTACTGCCGCCTTCCCCCGCAACGCCGGAAAATATTTCCAAAGCTAAGGTCATTGTCAGTCGCATGACTGCTGACGGCGGTAAGTTGGCATTAAATAAAAAGTTTAACTTGTTTAAAGATATGCATGAAATCTCGGACAATTACTATAATGGCATCAAAAGTATGTCTAATAGGTATACAAGATCATCAAATGACATATTGAAATTACATTGTAGATAGCGAACATCGTAACCAATCATGAAAAAAACCTTGTCGGAAATTTCACAAAATAATTATCACTAATTACAGGTTTCTTACCATGCACGGTATGAGTTCTTTTTGTTTTCCCAATATTTCATATCACTACATATACTTTGGTACGAGAAGTCATCGAGATCACAAAGTAGGTACGAAACGTTTAACCGTGAAGATGGATTTAAACTATCCAGAGCGGGGAATGTAGTGTTTAGTGCGTACAATAATAAAAACAAATGGCATCTCGGCAAAAGTGAGTGACTGCTAAAGTAATCGATATGAAGGTAGTCACCGATAGCGAAAGAGGGTAAATAGATATGTCTGTTCTTATCGCTGTTATATGTCGCTACCTGTCAGCCCGTGACCAAGGAAGAACTCATACCGTGGTAAGAAACTTGTAATTACTGATAATCATTTAGTGAATGACCACGAAAGCTTTAAATTCTATATTTCACAAAACGGTTTGAAGGAGTGACGGCTGTCCGTACTGCGTTACGATATAACGTAGGCTATACCTCAATTAAAGAAGATAATTTGTACCCACAACACAATTCTAAATCTTACGTATTCTTATCACAGGCACAAATATTGCATCCGCGTTAAATGTAGCTGTCGATCTAATAAACAAAGGCGTGGGATGGAAACCAGAAACAAATGCCACCTCCTCGACTACTCCATCAACCATTGAACCTATACCAGAGCCTGCTGAAAGGAAGCTTGCTGAAGTGAAGCCTGCCGAAGAGAAGTCGGAAGCAAAGGAATTGGATGTTGCCAAGGGTAAGTCTGAACTACAATTTGAATAAAAATTTATATTTTAAAAATCCCCGATATAAAATAGTGTACCTCACAAATTCAACATCTGTAAGCCAACTACTCTTTGCGATCAATTCAATAAGCCTAAACATGGTTGTTTTACTGTAAGTAATGAGGAGTTGGGTAGTCTGCTGACTATTCTGATTAAGATGATCAGCTCAATGCATCGAATATATAGCCAGAAATAAGGACCATCCAGCGCTGGCAAATCATCGGGCAAATGGGTCTTATATCACTTTTAAATATCAACTCTCATTTGCGCTGAAATCACAAATTAGAAAACTGAAATAGTACAGCGCCAGCAACTGACCTGCAGAATATTTTTGGAATGTACGGAGACGTACACACGTCTCTGTATATTCCAAAAATATTCAGCGTTTATTGTAATAAAGTTAATATCTCTAACAATGGGGGCTGTTCCATTCGGTGGTGTGAGAAAATCAGCAAAACATCTAAATACAAAACAAACAGAATCACATTTCATCGGTAATAAAATATTAAGTACGTAAGTTGCAATTTTCGTCCATTATAGCAAAGCTCAAGTTAAACTGAGGTGAAACAATTGACAAGTATCGTCAATTGTTTCACCTCAGTTTAACTTTTGAATTCGGGCTGGTTGATCGGAGCGCTGTTGTCACCGTAATGATTTGGCAGAATAGTTTTCAAACAAATTAAATAACATTTCGTTTCTATTTCTGGTTATATACTCGATGGGTCAGGGTTACCATATTATTGTAAAATCGTTGAATTTCGGTCCATCGGACAGTGGAAGTAACATACATATTGTTTTTATGACTGTGATCTCTACACTAATTGGAAAAAGAACTGATGATCTTTAAACAGTTGAACAGAACCATCCAGATTAGTGTCAGTCCGGCCTTTTTTTTGTTTTTTATAATATCAAGTGATGGGACGAACAAGTTGTGCTCCTGATAGTAAGCTACACGCCTGTCCATAACAGTTGCAGTGCCACTCAGAGCTTTAAATCGCAAAGATCTGAGGGGTACTACCACTGTGCCCGTCACCTTGAGACATAAGTTGACAAGTCTCTTACCCTTCAAAACCGGAACACAGTAATGCTGACAATACTGCTTGGCGGGAGAAATAGCTAAGGTAGCAGTACTTCCCTGGAAGAACTTTTTCACAAGGAGCACTACTGCTACTAATAAATATTAATAAATTATAAGCCAGTGCTAGACAAGACGCGGTCGCGAACGTTGCACTCAACCCCTGATGAAGACCATCGATTATGGTTCAAACTAGTCGGACCGCTTCCGACTAAAGTACTGCGCGAGTAAGTCACGTTACTTTTATACTATAATGTGTGATAACCGCGTTAGTTTTCACAATAAAATGATAAGCCATTTGGGGGCTACGATGCCATAGACAAACATACTGATACACGTTACAGACATGCACAGGCTTCAAATTTAGAAACTCCCTTCTTTTTGCGTCGGGAGATAATAATGAGTTGGCAAGGTAAATCACATTTTTGTTTAAATTTCAAGTTACTACTTTGTAATAATTATGAGATATGAGAAATCATTGATTTGATGACAATACGAAACATTTATTTTGGCTTAGCCAAAGTCGCTTAGGCGGATTACTTTCATTCGAGAAAATTAACTGCCAATATAAAAGAATCGTGTTATTTTATTTTTGTTTAAAAAGAAAATTTAGATTTAGAGACCGATTTGTTTGTGTTTATGTTTGTTTTATTCTTTCTGTTTATTTATTTTTTTATATTGTTGTTTAGAAGAGAAAAGCCTAGAGCCAATTATAATCTTCCTTACGGACGGCGATCCGACTGTGGGAGAGACTGACCCTACGCGCATCATTAACCGTATTAGCGAGAAAAACTCCGGTGTCAATAAGGCTTCATTATTCTCTCTCGCTTTTGGTAAGTTTTATTTTTACGATACATACTTAACAGTGTTATTTTTTTAAGCATGCTCTTATGTGAAAGGTCAGGCCATGGCTTGGACAGTCGTGCACTTCTCCAAAAGACTTCCAAGCAGAGTTTTTAAACATCTTTTATAACTGCATGCAAACAACACGTAGGAAACACGTCTCTCTGACGACGAGGGAAATTATCCTTGATAATAGAATATTTCCAATAGGAGAACGTCAAGCAAATAATACTAACTGTTTATTTATGTATGTCATAGTTCCTTGCCTGATCTCTTTTTAACAGACTTCACAAAAAGGAGGAAGTTCTCAATTATCTGTTTTTTGTGTGCATGTTACGCGATGATCCCGACATTTGTGAACCGATTTCGATTATTCTTTTGTTGAAAGGGGGTCAAGAAAAAATTTAAAAATTATAGACTGCTGATAAGAAACCAATTTTGAAAATATTGGTCTACTATTATAGGTGACACAAAGACACAAATAATTTTAAACATCCATAACTTAACATCTGAACTATAAGAGATAACTCACGTGTATTTAAGTTGAATTTTTACTCGAGCTAAAATTTGACTTACATACGTGATCTAGTCGATAGAGTCGAGATATACCGTCGTCGTTTTTTTCCTGTGAGTTCTATATTTACTTCCATCCAAAGGTTGTCTGGCAGAAAGAATATCGCTTAATGCTATAAGACCCTAAGGGGCCATCAATTACTCAAGCTTTTTTGTTTAATTGTATTGTATTTGTATCCATTTTGGTCACAGATTACTTAATAGTTACTACGTAACAGATAACTCACTCAAACAAAATCGAAAATACCTACGCTATAATAACCTACTACATCTGACTAAATGACACCAGGCACTCACTACGAGGAAAAAGGAACCTAAACTCACGTTCAGAGAGGTGAAAATAACGTTACCCACCGTGTGTAGTGGTGTGGAGATTCGGCTCCACACCACTACATCATAAATGAAAGATTGGTATGAGTGCTTGCGCCGATGTCGGCGCACTCACCGGTAGGCACATATCGCGTAACCTTGAGCGAGGGACGGAGCCCTGTTTTGGTGTACAATAAAGAATTTTGGAAATGTCTTTATTCTCTGTTGAGTCTCACGGTAGTCTTCCATCCATATCTTGTCCAACAGGTGAAGATGCGGATCGCAAGTTCCTACGCAAAATATCTCTCCGTAACGAAGGCTTCATGCGGCACATCTACGAAGCAGCAGATGCAGCGTTGCAGTTGCACGACTTCTACCGCCAGGTTTCGTCACCTCTGCTGGCTGATGTTAAATTTATCTACCCCGCTGACCAGGTAACCCAGAACACTAAAATCTGTGTGTAAAGTTACACTACACTTTTTTACCAACACTATGTTATGGACAGACTTACCGTCAGGCGCACGACTTATTTGTCCCGTCACTTGAAATCATAAAAAAAGAAAATTGATATTGATAGATATACGTGCGGCGCACTATAAGTTTCCGGAATCAAGAAGAAAAAAATACTATAAATGAATTTATTGTTTCTCAAAATATTCTCCGTTAGCGTTAATGCACTTTTTTATACGAATGAACCAATTTTGAAAACATTTATGCCACTCCTCCGTGACAATCTCTGAAACATATTTCTCATACTCTTCGACAGCCTCTTCAGGTGATGAAAATCGATGACCGCGTAACTGGTTCTTAATTTTTGGAAATAAATAAAAGTCACACAAATGCCAGGTCGGGACTGTACGCGGGATGGCTCATAAGGTCAACGTTGTTCACCTTCAAAAATTCATTTGTCTGTCTTGCCGTGTGAGAACTGACATTATCGTGGTGCAAGAAGATACGGCGTTTACAGTTATTTTTACGGAGTTTGACAATAACTTCCGGCAAACAAATGGTCGTGTACCAATCACTGTTCACGGTACAACGATTCTCCAAAGCTGCAGTAGCCACGTGTCCAGTTTTAATAAAAAAAAAGAAACAATCATCCGCTTAGAGGCACTCTGCACGCGCGCCACTTTGGTTGATTTCGGCTGATCTCGAAAGACTCATACGCTCGATTGCTGCTTTGTTTTTTGTTTTACTATGTTCCACATCAAATTTGACGCCCCTTCATTGAATCTGGTAAGCATGGCATTGCACCAAGTGACGCGATCCGTTTTTTGAGCCTCAGCCAAACTGTTTGGGATCCACCGAGAGCACAGCTTTTTCACACCCAAATGTTTGTGTAGTATTGATTGTATTTGACTCATGCCTATGCTTAAAGATGAAAGAAGAAGCTCATGGTATGTCACATGCCTGTCTGTTTTGATCATTCAGCGCACAGCATCGATGTTTTTGTTGTTCACGGCAGTGGATGGGTGACCGTCACGAAATTCGTCACTGAGATTAACACAACCGCGGTTGAATTCTGCAAACCAGCTATAAATAGTCGTCTTGCATGGTGCTTCATCGCCAGAAGCCGAGCGAAGCTCCGCTGAGCTGTTAAATTACACTTAAAGTCGTAGAAAATCATACTACGAAAATTTTCACGAGTTAAATCCACGAATTTTCTAAAATGACGCTACAATGTTAAAACAAGTGACAGTAAGATGAAACAAACTGTATTCTACAGCCAAAGAGTTCCATTGTCAAATGTTAATGTGTCAAGTGTTGTAATTACTTTTTAAATATTGTTTATGTAAGTGGCCAATTCCGGAAACTTATAGTGCGCCCTACATATTATGATAGTAGTCATAACTACTACCTCCGTGGCCGAACGGTTACCATGCCGGACTGCCACGCAGAGGTCCCAGGTTCGATTCCCGGGCCGAGAGAAATATTTGTATGACCTACATTTATTTCTCTCGTGAGTTTGGGTGTAATTTGTGGTTGTCTATGTGTGTGTCCATGGCACCCGCGACACAGGGTTTCCCTAGTGCGGGGCTATGTTGAGTGTGTGCGTTATTATTATATATTATATAACTTAGTTTTATGCCTTGTATACATGATATGCAGCGACGTTTATTAATTGACTTTGAAAGAATTCTTAAAAAACGTACACTTTTCCGTTTGTGTCTGTTTCTACTGCGTTGCCATAGATAAAGTTCCACTAGTACCACCCACCAGTGGTACAAGTGAGAACGGATGCCTTTTTGCAACCTAAAGTTTTGTATTTTAAAGTTACGACTCTAAAGACAAAACTTTCATTGTATGTAATTTGTTCTACAGTAAGAATGGGTATTAATTTAATAATTTTTAGGTACAGTACAGACAAATTGGAGATAGTTTGATTAATTACAAAAATAGACAATTTAACATTTTCTTTAAAAATTATATGTGTTGCAAAACTTAGAGACATCCGAAGTTCGGGAAAAAAATTAACCTTTCTGTTATAATTATTAACACGTAAGCATTTTCTTTGTATTTCATTTTAATTCTCTTTGAACAAACTTGGCTATTAATAAACGTCTCATATCTGAATGAAGTTCATAAACAGCATCAAATACAGACTACTAATACAAGAATACTTAGTACCTTGAATATTCGGAAAAACAGTATAGTGTTGCTACAAGTAGTGGTAGTTTCGTTTCATCATAGTATAACAAGTAGGGCAATTCCTGCCTATACTTCGTTCGGAGCGTAGAGTTGTCACATTATTATCTTAATTGTACCTACAGGTTGTAAACTTATGTATAGTATTATCGTGCTATTTTGAAATAACCTTTGTTTAAATGTATTACGTAATTATATTTTTATACAAGCATCGCGGGTTGGTTTCTCGATGGCAGTGTGATTAGAATTTCTGAATTCGAGTAACTTTTGTTCAAGCCACCGTAAACAAAACAATAAACACTACCAGATCAGAACCAATTTATAAAAGTTCATTTCGGACAAACTTCAGTTCAACTTCTCATTTAACGCCCGTAGTGGTAACCGCTGAATAACCAAAGTTGTCAAATAAACAAATAAATAAAATGTGTGTAACTTACCTCTCATGTACAGTATAGTCGAGAAGATCGAAAATTCTGAAGTTAAGACACTTTGTTAAACACGACACTCAGTACTTGATATCATTTTTTAAACACCGCGCGAAACGCTTCTATTGCACTGCTACGTTTTTATGGAGTTACCCTACTTGTCTTGTTATATTTTTATAGGTTTTTTTTAAATAGGTTTATAGGTTTCATTCATTTAGATATTATAGATGATATTCTGCAACAAGCACGATCATTATTAACTAGTCCTCTTCGGTCGTAGGTGAAGAAAGACTCATTAACGAAGCACAATTTCCGCACGTACTACTCGGGTGGAGAGACCGTAGTAGCCGGACGCGTTGCTGACGGCGCAGTTGAGATTAGCCCGCATATCATTGGTATTTGCGGGGTCGATGACGGCTTCACAAAGGTACGTATAACTTTCCATCATATTGTAGGAAAGTGAATGTTTAGTTTACTTTATTTTCCTGTACCTATGCCTGTGTTGTTGGCGGTCAATCTTACTAGCTCCGATGACATTAGCAAGGGTAGTCCCGATGGGGTGTTAAAAATGTAAAAGATGAAAGGAAATGAAACTATTTTTCCGAATTTAAATCGTGTATATTTGTTTTTTCAAACAAACCGACGTTTCGGGCCCTTTACTGGTCCCATAGTCATGGTTGACTGAGGTGGTAATGTCATTAACCAGCTATGTCTAATGTTAAAGCAAACCACCCTATTTTTCACTATAGTTACAAAAGCTATAAATTAAATACCTTATTTTTAATTTTACAAAGAATATTCCAATTTACGCTACATTAACTTTTACAAATCATTTTATTTTATCAATATCAATTTTTATTAACTTAAATTTATTATTAACTAGTAATGGACATTGAAATAAATTAAAACATATTAATTAGTAGTACGGCAGTCTTATGTCTGTATGGGATTTTTCATCACAGGAAATACTGGATCCCAAACTGATGGTACGGAGAAACCATCTTCCCTGTTGAAATTAGGATGTTTTGTAATTTGTATGGCCTCTCGCAGCATCCTGGGTATATAACGGACTTCTTTTGCAAGGATCTGCGGTTTGTCAAACTTCATTGAATGTGTCGGTTTATCCATGACATGCTCGCAGACTGCAGACTTGTTTACGCTACGGTGTTTGAAATCAATAGGGCTAGCACAACTAGTCGCGATTTGCGCGAGAGCGAAATAAAAGCGCGAGATGCTTCTCTTCTCACATATAGATCTCGCGCTTTATGTCGCACTCGCTCAAGTCGCGCCCTGTCGTACTAGCCCTACAGCTATATGTTATTTAATGCGGGTACAAATACTTCGCTTCTAAACGTCGGTTTGTTTAAAAAAAACAAATATACACAATTTAAATCCGGAAAAATAGTTTCATTTCTTATGTGTAACAATCGCGAAAACTTAAGAACTCGATATGTAAAAGATAACTTATTTTAATAATGCCAGACTACCACACTAATTATCTGCCCCCGTAGTATGGCTACGCATAATAGTCGCGACACGCGCGATAAAATTGAAATAAGCGCGCGCTCTTGGCTGTCTCAATCAGATCTAATTTAGATAGCCAATAGCGCGCAATCATGCATAGCCATGCCGCGGGGCTGGTCTCAAATCAAGGAATTCCCTGTACTATGAATACCAGAGCAACAGAAGTCACTCTGGGGCACTACCCTAAACACCCAGACAAGAATAAATTTAGAAAAGATGAACTCCTGAATTGGTCCCACAGTGAACCCAGAATCTTACAACGACCACAGTGCCACCGAGGTTGTCGTAACTTTAATGTTCGTGTTGTAATTTCAGAACGTTCAGTATATTAATTCCCGAAACAAGTGTTTTAATTCAACTTCTCATCATCTCTTTGGTATGACTTTACCTATCATATTTTTAACTATGTTCTTGTTTACAAATTATAATCAACAGAAACGCTATGAGATCTTCCCGAAAGTGCCGGTATCCCGTAACGTAGGCGAGTACCTTCCTCTGGAGCGGCTGTGGGCCTACCTCACCATCAAGCAATTGCTGGACGAACGTGACGCCGCCGACCAACCCGCTGATAAGGAAAAGGAGGACACACCGGAAAAAAAGGCTTTAAGCATCGCACTAAGGGTCAGTCTTTACTTTAATTGTAAGTTACCAATCAAATAATAGACTGATCGATTTTAATTGTGTACCCTATTGAAATAATAATAATAATGCGTGTTAGGGTTGTAAAAAAAATCCTTATTTTTTGTTGACAGTACGAATTCGTGACTCCATTGACATCATTGGTGGTCGTGAAGCCCAACGCAACCAACGCTGTCAATGCTGAATCTGTTGACAAGCCAAGTAAGTTATTTCTAAATATTATAATAACTCCATAAAATATTTTTGTGTGAACATGTGAACATACATATCCAAGGGCATTTAAGGCACATGTAGTATCAAGCATCAGAAATTCTATTTTCTACCATTTCGTTATATGCTTAAGCGATTACTCTGGCATTAGTGAACTGATTTTGATTGTTCTTTTTTAATGGAAAGAGTCACTCACTATTGATCCCATTTATATTTGAAGAAAATATTCCACCTCTAAGAGTGGTAAAACCCGGTTGGAGGCCCGTTTGGGGAGCCTGGATGGGGGCCCCGGTTGGGTGGCTCGGTTGGGGGGCCCGGTTCGGAGCCATCAGGCTTCTTAACTGGCCCTCTAACCTAACCTAACCGGGCCCCCCAACCGAGCCACCCAACCGGGGCCCCCATCCGGGCCCCCCAAACGGGCCCCCAACCGGGGCCCCCAAACCGGGGCCTCCAAACCGGGGCCTCCAACTGGGGGCCCCCAACCGGGCCCCACAAACGGGCCCCTAACGCGGCCCCCAACCGGGCCCCCAACCGGGCCCCCAACCCGCCCCCACCACAAAACATATCTAAAATGCGTTTCTTTCTGCGCATTTTAGGACATTGTTCAAAATAACCAGTGCCGATGCCGTGCAAGTCAATAACCTTTGGATCAAATTTGTAAATATCTTTCTCTGTAAATATGGCGAGAATGCAAATCAACACGTTGTATATGTGACAAGTTAAGAGAGACATTCCATAATAATATTTGTTCTTTTTAGATGACTACGGATTCAGCAGTAAGTACCTAAGCATTACAGTTATTTACTCGTTTTGTTTATAATCAAGACAATATACACACGCTTTATATATTTACAAGCCGACGTTACCCTTTAATGTTAGTAATGGAATGAAACAAAGTCATCGGTGAAAGTGTTTGTTCAACATCTGTGGGAAGCTTTGAAAACGGCGCCATTGCCCTGCAATTTGACGACTGTTATTAATAAGAACAAAAAACAAAATTTTTCGATTAAGTAAAAAGAGCATGGAATCAACTTAAAAAAATTGTTGATGAGTCCATACAATCAAATGATAAGTTTATACATGACCAATGATAATGTAGTTTAATTTCAACTTTTTAGTTTAATTTTGTATATAATAATCCTCCAAGATATAATACAATAGAAATCAATGCAGTGCAATATAACGTAATGTAATATTACAATGTAGTAGGTATTATTCAGACATTTTTTAACTACATTCGAACATAATAGCTACGTTGGTAATATATAATTAACACAATGTTAGCATTAAAAACTTAAATAGCAAATATATATCTTAGTGAAAAGTATTTATTTATATGAAAAACTATTATTATGAACTTAAATTGCCTGTGTGCTCACAGTTACAGCACATTGAGTTACACAAACCATCACTTTTTTAAACTGCAAAATTTGATACGCTGTACTTGTAGAAAAACTAAACTGACACTGGCGATGATCGCCATAATTCTTATAATATTCTTATAAAACTGCCATAAAGGAAATAATAATAAGTACTTGTACAACATTCAACAAATAATTTTGATAGTTTGTAGGTATTACTGGCTGTTGTGGCCCACAGTACGTGCAGAGTCCCTATCTACCGACCCGAGAGATAGGGTTTTCCGGAGAGACTACGAGCTCGACGGCAAGACCAGGGTATAGCAGGCGTCCGAGCCAAGCCCTCCGCCAGTGTATTTTTTTTATAATATCAAGTGACGGGACGAACAAGTCGTGCGCCTGATGGTAAACTACACGCCTGTCCATAACAGTTACAGTGCCACTCAGTGCTTCAAATCGCAAAGATCTGAGGGGCACTGCCACTGCGCCCGTCACCCTGAGACATAAGTTGACAAGTCCCATGTGTCTGTAATTTCACCAGCACCTTTACCCTTCAAAACCGGAACACAGTAATGCTAACATTACTGCTTGGCGGCAGAAATAGGTAAGGTGGCAGTACTTCCCTGGGCGAACTCTTTCACAAGGAGCTCTACTGCTTACAATACAGTGATACGCATTTGGGCGTCTCTGGTGGACCCAGACTTGGGTATGGACTCGCTGGGGTTTGTGGTTAGCTGCAGAGACGGACATGTTTGTCTGCACCGGTTTTGCATGTTTCCGGGGCGTCTGTCTCGTGAGCAGCTAGCGCGTCTTAGTAGCGGTCTAGTTGAGGGCCTGAAGCGAGGAGACGCGCGGAGCACGTGAGTTGCCCTTTAAGTTGGAAGCTATGTCCAGACATTGTCGCAGGACACTGCGACTGGCATCTCCGACAATAGCCCGGAGAGCTAGTAGAGCTATAAGCTAGATATCCTCCGGTCCCTCCAGCCGCTTAGGTTATTGGGAACTGGAGAGACATCGTTTTTCGGCGTCGGGAAGTGAATGTGCCTTACAGATACTCCACCAATGAGGAGATTTGGTAGTGGACTCAGAGTCAACCGCCTAGCGGTGGCAACCGCTAGTTGTCCAATGCTCAGCGGGAAGTGAGCGTGCCTACAGACAGCTCCGGTAAATATCTGGAAAATAGGGAGGGTACTGTACGTGCACCCGGGGCGGCTCACCCGAGGCACTAGCCTCTCGAAGAACCGGATGAAGTCAAGTGACAGAGGTCTGTGACAACCCTGTACATTGACTGATCTGGGGTCAGAAACTGAACTTATAAGGTTCCTGTGCGCGCACAAATTATAGTGCCCTTCTCGTATGCCCTAAGGGTAGGTAGGGAGGGTCACTATAATCAAAACTAACGTAGAAAGATATGGGAGCTTAGTACGTGTAGAGACAGGGCAAGTAAATGAAAAATTCCTTTTGAAAAATTTAGGAAAGCTTTTAACTTCACGTGTTCGTGTTTGTGACCATACTCATCATGGGCTTGCCCGTAAAGGCTTGTTGCACGCTTAAGGCACGGTTTGTGCTTCACAGCAATATCGTCGCATGCGTTCAATGCGTACCCGCTGCAGCTCTCGGCGCCACAGTTCGGCGGCGCCGGATTCCAAGGACCGCCCGGCCAGCCTGCGCTTTACAGTGAGTTATCTTCGTTTAGAATCTTATGTAGATAAGGGTTTTAGTTTTTGACGACTTCGTCCCCAAACATTCATCGGTCAAAATATCCCTTTTCTCAGAATGTGTTTTTGTTACAATGCCCTGTCCTAAAATATTTCTCCCAAACTATTCTTATTCTAGAGTATATCCTTTCTCACAACTATAAATATATTACCCAATATTGCGCATTCGTGCTCATTTACAATTAAAATTGTCAATAAAATTAAAATTGTAATCTTATAATAATAGTAGTTTAGTAAACTAATATGTCATGTAACACAAATTTTGTGGTGTTGTCTCAAGTAGAGGCGGCCTTCTTATGTAAGTCGTGTGCCATAGGGCCTGAGGCCGTGGCAATGGACGACCTGATAAACGTCGAGGGTCAGCAGATCGATTACGAAGAACATGACAGTGACATTCGGTTTGAAACAGGTGATTTTTAACATAGCTACATTTTTAAGGCTCCGGACAAATCATGTGACAAGAACGTCGCTGATACCTACGTGTTATTTTGTTTATTTGCCACAAAAATGCACACAAAATGTACCTAGTACCTTAACTAAAACAACATAGTGCTATTTATTTTGGCTTACCATGATTGATTTTTACGTCCGTGTCCTTTACTTATTACGCAGCCTCCCAAGGTCAATGGACCACGGAAGGAAAGCGTTCAATGGAAATATGCCTACATCTTGTTCTCACGCTTCAATCTACAAATCGTGGGACAGCGTAATACACCAAGAAGGTGTAAATAATATTATTGAAATTTAAGTTTCCTACCTTAATTTTCCTAGAGCTTGTCTTTTCTTTTCCTGCCTATTAGGACAGTATCTAATCTCTATTCTAAACTATGTTATTTAAAAATTATCGTAAACTCGGTAGACAAGAATAGTACATAACAGTACCACCAAGTTGCGACAGCGTTTTTTAATTATTCGGCATAAACAGACATTTTCCAAACAATATACAGGCAATCGCATGTTTAGTAACCTACAGACGGCAATAGCATGTAAAACTCACAGATAAAAGGCTGGCAGCATTTTCAGGATGCTTCAGGCTTTGGCAACTGCGTTACGCGCTCATGGTTCGAGATGCACGACACTGATTCAGGTATTAGACGTACACTATTTATGTATTATTTTTAGATAAAAAAAATATCTGTTTAGTCTAACGATATCTATTGGAGTCTTTGGTTTTAGAAATGCGAATGAGCGATGCACCACAATACAATTTGTCCGCTGGATAGTATATAGAAATAAGTTACGCTGTAGTACTGTGTTCTATTTTTTATACTAAATAACGAATGTTTCGGGGTATAGCGAGAGTTTCACTTGCAACTGAGATTGACATCACTTCTTTTGTCCTTACAAGAGGCTCTTGACACTACGATAAGCATTTGAAAAACCGTTCAAATGTAGTTTACGCTATCATACAATGTCATGCTTCTACAAATACAAATTACCTGAGTTACCTGGAATATTTTCGGACTTTAAATAAGGTTCAAAAAGGAACTAATTGCTTGGCTATTCCGCGAACGCTATGAAATTTATATCGCACAAAATATCTGTTCTTGTGTTGAATATTTTTTCATGCAGTAAATTTTATCAACCTCCCTCCGCATATACCTAATTAATAATATAAATAGCACAGACGCAACTACAATCACATACACAACTACGAGGCATTCTCAGAAGGTTGTCATTCGTGTGTTCTTTATTTTATTAATTTTACACGAGCTAGCTAGAGCAGCTATTTTTTCTTTTTTTTTATTTCATTTTATTATTTTACACGATCTTGCCTTCTCTGAGTAGCCAAGTAATTTACTTTAATTTTTATTAATATGGTTTTCCTCAAAGTCAAACGCCTAAATATTAATAGGTATAGATTATTAGTAAGGACGTTAATTGAGAAAACACACATTATTTTTAGTTTATTAGTTCTTTAATAATAAATAAATAATCAAAAGGTCGCATGTTTGACAGCAAACCGTTTCATGCTATCATTGATTACTAGTTTAAGATATGGCCTTGATTTTGATAGCCTCTCCCTTTCGGAAACTGCGGATTTTCCGAGTCGAGGCGTATAATATTGCGGATGGGCTGCCCGGTCGGATCGATACCGATTTGAATTAAAATCAGGGCCATGGTTTCTATAGAAGAACGGAAAAGGGGATTCATTCCGTCTAGTTGACTGCATGTTGAAAGCAAACATACGTTTGTTGCATTGCATTATTTAAGACTCGTGTACATACAATAAAACAGAAATGAAGATTTAAAATGTACACAATATTATAATACTATAATATCGTTCTTAGGGAAGACCTAGCTGTCTGCAGTACTGGGGCGTACCTATATGAGTTGAAAAAAGGTAAAGGAGCCCCGTTGTTATAAATGAATAAAATATAATAAAATAAAATGACGTTGATTTATCCACAAAACACAGAAATAAACATAAGCAAACAATTACAACAAAAGAACAGTAATGTGGACAAAAAGGATAAGGACAGCATCGCTGATTTCAGGCTTCACCTACGGTTATTCGCTTGCTGCATCAGAGCGGCAAGCGGAGTGTATACTAAACACCAGGCAATTAATAGGGGCTGTCTGTGTTGCACTACATGTAAAAAAAATTGTAATTAAATATTATATACTATTCATCTTCAAGCCATTTATATCGTATGTTTAAGCTTCATTGTATGCATATTACTTTTGCAACTATAAACCTATACGTAATATTGTAGAGAGAGTGCTGTATAAGATCGCAGGGCGTGTCGGTGTTCCCGGTCCAATGTATAGCAACTACCACAGTGGACGTAAGTTTTTTTTACTAAATTGGTATTCTATACTCTTTATAATCAATAATCTGTCTTCTCGGAATCTACAATAATTATCCCTATAAACTTGCAATCGCCACCATGTTCAGCAACAGCTATACGTCAATTTGAATCACAATTTTGTGAAATGTGAAATAATTATTTATTTTTCTTGTAGGAAGTATTATCAGTACTGGTGCGGTGTGTGAATGAAAATTACATGTTTGAAACATTGTAAATAACTACATAATATCTTTAATCGTGTACATTTGGAATAGGTAGAATGTTCGAGCATACTTTAGCATAGCTGTTTGTAGTTGTTACATAACTATCTTTGTTGCAAAAATTTGTAATATAAAATGAAATATTAAACCGCACTAAGTTAGATGTATTATTAGATAGATACTATTTAGAGATTTATAGAAATATATAGTACAGGGTGGGGCAAAACATACGTCCGAGTTTGGGGCAGCAATGGACAACCTACAAAAGTTTGGGTCTTGATTATTTTTTATTCAATTCGTCGTATAGTTTTTTCCTTTAGGTTTGAACACGATCTTAGGAAAATAGCGGACTTTTTGCAAAAATACACCGATCTATCTAATAATAATAATGTACCAGACACCACACCAATTGCCTGGTATCAAACTAGGAAATTCCCTGCACTATGATATACCGAATTGAATAAAAACAATAAAGACCGTAAGTTCTTTAATGATCAGCCTCAAACTCGGGCGTACCTTTTCCCCACCCTTTATACCTATAGGTACAATTCTATAATACATAGCCAATACCCAAAACACTAAAAACTTTTAATGGATTCATACTTTAGTGCATAAATTAACAGGTATTTTATGTCCAAGTTTACCACATAGTATAAATGTCATTATTACAGCGCAACATTCAAAGTTTCTACTTTCACGACAATCTCACACTACCTGGCATCAAGGATTTGGTCCAAATATTAAAACTAGTAAGTAGACGACGACGAAACAGCTCAAGTATATCATCATAAATATTACAAGAAATCTTTAAAATTTGAAAGGTGGTATAATTGGATAATATACTTATTATTTGTACTAACTACAAGAAGTGATGAATTGGACATTATTGCAGCGCATGTTTGTACTTTCCACGTACACCCCACCTCGACAAGAAAACTGCAAAATATTATCATTATAAATATTATGAATCTTTGTAGGACACATTCCGTCGCCATAATCGTCGTGTTGGAAAATGTCGTTCTAGCTATTTTGAAAACCGTTGTCGCAATTTGCAATGTACATGATGTTCTATATACTTACATTTCAGCTATCTTTTTCTTTTCATTATCTCTCTGTAACTCTTTTCTTGTCTATATGGTATGAAAATATAATTTATGTACGTCTATAATTATAAGTCAAGTTTGTTCGCACTCATAGAGCAAAGTGATTAATTGTGAGGATAACTTACTTTTCTTAGCATTTAAGAATTAGAATAATATCTATCTAAGTAACTAAGGATTTGTTAACAAAGATACACAGACAAATAAAATCACACTACAATGTTTCACAGACAGGATCGCCGGCCAATTATACACCACAACACCGGCACCGCCACCGCCACCGTCATTTACAACGGAGTCATCACTGAAGAAATACCATATTGAGAACCTTCCATGGCTGCAGGAGCTGTTGAGCCCTGGAAGCAGCACCTTGAATATTACCGTTACGAAATCTGAACCTAACGGCACGCAATCAAACACTTTTGTTGAACTTGAACTTTCAACAAACGCTGCTGATGATGTAAGTTGTAATACGAGTATACATCAATTTCCATTTTCCATTCATTTTCCAAGTAGAACGAATCTATGTCGGCGTAGCATGTGGTTTCGTGTAAGTCCTAATACAACAAATGCTACAATATACTTTGTTTTTTATCCAGCCACCCAAAGAAGCTGGTGGTGACCAAAAATGCGCTCCGTCGACCAACAGCGTAGAAGGCCTGTGCGTGTATGTGTCGCGATGCAGTGCCGCCGTCAACATGACTGCGACTACTTATCCCGAGTTCCACTGCAAAGTTGAAAATAAGTAAGTGTTATAGATACTATCTGTAATAATCTAATTGTCATCGCAGAGATTCAGATCAGATCCCTAAATTAAATCGGCTGTAGCCGGTATACGTTATCCGAGCGACGCGACGTGGTGATGACAGACGGAATAAGTTTAGAAAAAGGCAACAGGATCAACTTGTTTAGAGTCTATAACTTCAAATGGCTTTGGTTGTCTGCATGACTATGCAGATAATGATTTTGACTGCCTCTCCCGATCGGAAACTGCGTCTTTTTCGAGTCGAGGCGCACAATTGCGATTCACACCTGGCCGATCGGACACTTTCGACATTTCTAGTCGGAATAATAGTTGATGTAACTCACAAATTAGAACGATATAGTAAGAATCAGGTTCTAAAATCTTCTCGCTCAGAAACTCATCTGATTTCGAGACTATCTAGATTTGAATCACAATCAGCACGCTGAACTGTGAAAGAGTTAAATCAATAACTTTGGAAAAAACATTTAGTAAAATCACGTAAAATCGAGGATATACCTACACTGATTAATATACTATATAACACGATTCCTAAAAATTTTCACGTTAAATATACAAACTTACCTCGAAATTTTACAAGTACACCGCTGTAGTCAATAGGTACTTCACATATATATGTACATATGATTTTTTTTTTATATCAACTGAACTAAATAGAACACGTATACTATACGATATACATTTTTCAAATGGCTTTAATTTCGTTTATAAAAAAATAGATTCTGAAATAAAGCCAGTATCCCTACCGCTCGACGCAAGCAAAATGAACCGTATTAGTATGGGAAAAATTTGGATTCGACCTGACGTGGACTCTTAAGAGATGGGTGATTTACTGTACGGATTGTAAGCAAGACAAGACGAGATTAGCGCCAAAGCGTGGGATTTGGAATTTGAGAAATAAGACTGATGCCCAACAGAGGGTTTTAAAAAGTGAACTCCTTTGGGTAACACGTGGATAGACGCGAGTATATTTCCCGTTACAAGAAACTAATTTAGAAAACTGCTATAATTCAACAGTTAAAATTTTGGGAAGCAACACGGTTTCGGTAATCTGGTAGGGGGAAGGGGGCACATTTTTACATATCTGGTTTAAATTATTATTATTTATTTCCTTTGTTGGGTGCAGTAGTTAGATCTACTATTTGGCTATAATTATACACAATAAGCACCATCAAAAAGTTTATAATACTGTCAGAATTCCCATTTTTATGAAGAATTCAAATGTTCAAAGCTGCCAGTTTTGAACCCGCCAGGTGCACCTTTGAATCATCAATTTAAATGAAAATTACTAATTTATTGCGAAATATTTTTATTAAATCCGTTATCAAAATTCTTTCACAATATTTATTTAGTTCTTCAGTGTGTGTAGTTAAATCCATGGATAATTGGTTAAATATATAATCACAGGACTATTTATTACAAAAGAAAAGTTTGGACGGAACCGAAACTCAATTAAAGTTTAAATTATTAACTGCAATATAAAAAAGAAATAAACACGTAACTTCTTAGGTAATTAATTATAAAATCACAGGAATAGTACAAAACAGAGTAAAAATAACAAAAAAAAACCGTATAAAATATTAGCAGAGGAAGCTAATCAGAACCTCTAAACGTGTTCAAAGCTATTGTGTTCAAAAAAATTGTGTTATTAGTGTTCAAAAAAATGTGCCCCAGTAGGCACAAAATAACATTAGTTTTTGAGAATGTTTACTTTTCGACGCTGACACTAAACACAACCTCTCATTCGGTTTTTGGCACGCGTAAACTGACCGTTGCCACTGACAGGTGTGGGAATCGGTGGTGCCTTAAATATAATAATAATATTGTTATTATTAATTATTATTAATATTGTTATTATTGTTAATAATAATAATAGATGGAAGAGGACGAAGTAGGATCTTATTGCACACCCACCACAAACTCATAGATACACGCCATACTACATTTACTTGACTTCGGTCCGTAAATACGTTTTAAACCAGCTAACAATCTGAGAAGAATAAACAAATAATAATAATAATAAATAAATAATTTATTTGGCATCCAATGCCCACTTGTTAGTAAATACAGACATTTTAAACTAATTATGTTGGACGCCGCCACAGGACTCAAAAAACACCGAAAAAGATTTAAAACAATTTAATTTATGAAGTAAAGAAATTACAATATAATCCTTATTTCTAATTAAGTACTATGCTCGGTCGATGTGAGAACCAAAGTGAAGCAGGGGCCGCGACGCCGGTCGCGGTTTCCACGAGGCGAAGATGCACCATCAGCAAATCAGGCGGGTTGCATGTGGCAATCGCTGCTTCACGGAAAATGCCAGGCGGCCACACGGCTTGCATGTAGATTGCTCAACATATGTGTCACTCGATGTTTCCACGGGAGATGCAATGTAGGCATGTTTCATAGTTACAGTTCATCTAACATCTCCGCCCTCAAATCGGCAACTATTTGAGAACTTGGAGCGAAAATGTTGCTGACTTCGGGCTCCGATGTTCTACATCTTCAGGAGACTCGTTGATGCGATTTTCAGTTGATGTTTCATCTTCACTTGCGAGATTCTTAATTTTCAGTCGCGTACAAAGGTTACTACGCCGTATAATAATTATAGAAGTCAGTATAGCTGCGCCCAATAGTATTCCATAGAACGGTATAGTCGTGTGGTACAATTGGTTGTTAATATGGTCTATTTTAATTGGTTGCTGCATTAGGATCTTATCTTCAATGTCATGTAGTCCCTTTAGATTTATTGAATTAAGTTTTATATGTGGCATTTGCATGGGGCGGTTAACTTGGTAGTCGTAAGGTATATCTGTTATCAGTAAGGGTTGTCCTTTGACTTGATCGTTGATATTGATAATAGTAAATTCTTCAGTGCGCATAAGACATTTTGGTGGCAGGGTAGCAAGATAGCTTCCATGCAGGGTGATGAACTCCTGTCGTCCGCATTGTAGCTCCGTCTTGGTCGGTTGTGGGAAAATAAGCGTGTAGTGTTGGTCGTCTAGCTGCTCCATGGCTTCCTTGTCGAGACTTACTTTGGTAGGCCGGCACGATTTGTCTAGGGATTGGTGGATGATGATACCTTGTATGCAATCTGGATGTCCTCTTGGGAGATGATTGACCTTTTCCTCGCAAAGGTACTGGTGGTTGAACTTCGGGCATTCAGCCTCAATGTACATGAAAGTTTTGCTATTGGTTGCAAGGAATGGGTAAGGGGGAATAAAAGTCATGAAATTTTTGTTAGGAACAAGGGACAGCTTATAGAAATCGAATTGACCTGGGGAAATTATTGGAACTTTAAATATAATGATTATCCTTTTTCCTGCATAATAATATCCGGATTTTATTATGTTATAATATTCTCTCAAGTCTCCTTCTAGAACTTGGTCCTGATTATATACTGATTTAAGTTTACTTATCATATTTCTTAAATTATCTACACTTAGCATACTATGATGGGTGCTCGATGCACGTATAAAAGCTAAGATGTCCTCTATCCTAGTTAATTCTATGAACAGATCTTCTGCGTTTTCGCTGATTATCGTCAGTAACTGAGCGAACTGCGCGTATTTAAGAAGACTGTTATCGCTGTATATACTATTATTTAAAATTAATTGCAAACTATTATTAATTCTCTCCTGGTTTTCTACTATTTTCGTAAGTAAAGTGGAGTGCCGTTTCATCCATTCTTTGTTAAGACTAATATGATCATTTACTTCGGACAGTAATTTCTGGTCGTTATTTTCTAAAATTTGTATAGCATTATTATATTTTTCAGCGTCCGTATGATCTAAATTACCAGTAATACTTTTGATTAATGATCCTAGACCGTCTATAAGACCTCTTTTACTTCTTAAGCTATTGGGCTCTAATGTATTAAGTTGATTATGAATTTTATCCAACTTAGTGAATAGATATCCTATTTGTAGTTCATATAAGAAGTATGTATTATTATCTAGCTTAGCTTTGAATAGTGTAAGTTGAGAATCTATAGAGTCAAGTCTGGCTTTAATGTCAGTCATTTCAATAAATTGTAGGAAAGAATGATAGTGTGTAGTAAGTCTAGCTTGTCCAAGTTTAAAAGGCAAAATACCAGGTCCATTGTCAAGGTTCTCCAGTCTTATCTCGTGAGCCAGTGTCAGTCGAATGATCATCAGGAGTAGTCTGTAACAATTTTGCTGATTTAGGCACACGTTTGAGTCGGGATTTTGCTATGGGGCCTTTCTTTCTAGAAGTGTAAATATGTATAGGCAAATCGGCAAGGACGGTGTCTTGGGTGTAGCGTTTAGCGAGCTTATTTCTGTTAGCTACAGGATTGGCTACAAAAACCTGTTGGTCTGGCTGATATTCGATCTCGGGTTCCCTATTTCTATTCCTATTGTTAATGATGTTTGTTCGATTTTCTAATGAAGACTCATTTATATTTTCATATACAATCTTCATTCGATCTTTGTGTGTTAATATATACTGTTGCATTAGGTGTTCGGACATATTGATGTCAGATGGGTCTCTTGGGTCGAAATGTCCTCGAATTATATCGTGAGGCCTACATTTTGTAAAGCTGTGTACCGAACTATTGTAAGCTAAAATTGCATATGGCATCAAATTAATCAATCAATCAATCAATCAATCAATCAATCAATCAATTTATTTATTTGTCAGAATAAGGTACATTGTGTTCTTAATTCTAGGTAAGTCCAGCTTATTCTACCATAGTTGGCATGCAAATAATTATATAGGTACAATTAAATTCAAATTCTAATAAATGTCAAATACAATACTAAATTAATTATAACTACAATAACAAATTAATAAAAAAATATATCAAATCACATTACAATAATAAAAATAAAATGTTTATATGTTACTCACATGTCTAATTAAATAATTTAGGTAAAATATGTCAGTAAATTATATGTCAAAAAATTCGGCCACGGAGTAAAAGGTATTATTTAATAAGAAATATAAAAGTTTCTTTT